AAAGCTTAGTAAAATTGGAACATATACATAGTGCACGGCAATTTGCTACAAATTGGCGAAAATTTTGCACTAACTCACGGCTTAATGCTTAAGTGTGTGATTAATTATAATTAATCACCTAATTTATGTTTAATTATTTAATTAAACATAATGCTTAATTACCAAAATTATTCCGAACGTAAACGGTACGTCGAAAATAGATTTCGGTAATCTCAACTGAAAATAATTAATTCCGACAATAATAAACGATAACGTTATTATATCAGAACTAAAACATAATTTATACCGATAAAATATCGGGATATTACATTTGATGCTCGGCCTTAACTTGCTGACAGACCAAACATCTCTTCACAAAATCTGCTGCATCTCTTTTCATCCCTTTCCACCAAAATGACTTTTTCAAGTCATGATGCATTTTGGTGCTTCCAGGGTGAGCTAAATATGGTGCACTATGTGCTTCTGACAAGATTTCCTTTCGTAAAGCCTCGACTTTTGGCACAACAATCCTGCCTCTGAACTCCAATGCGCCATCGGAACCTCGATAAAAACCTTCTACTCCTCCAGCTTGAACTTTTTCTTCCATCTTCTGAACAAATTGATGGAAAGATTGCTCCTTCTGAATTCTTTCTCTCAGCATGGGCTGAACTCTCATTGAGTTAACCCTTCCAGTAACCTCCTTAGGAAGTGTCTTGACAACTTCAATCTGCATCCGAGCAAACTCTTTAATAAGTTGATTCTACTGAGTGATACAATGTGCCAATCCACCCTTCACTTTACGACTTAGAGCATCTGCTACCACATTCGCCTTCCCTGGATGATATTGGATAGTGCAATCATAATCCTTCACAAGCTCCAACCATCTTCTTTGGCGCATATTGAGCTCCTTCTGAGTGAATATATATTGCAAACTCTTGTGATCAGTGAATATTTCACATTGGCCACCATAGAGATAATGCCTCCAAATCTTGAGTGCGTGCACTACCGCTGCCAACTCTAAATCATGAGTTGGATAATTCTGCTCATGCGGTTTTAATTGTCGCGAAGCATATGCAACAACTTGACCATCTTGCATGAGTACACATCCAAGACCCCTTTTAGAAGCATACACTATAAATAGTAAAACATCTAGTAGGATCCTGAATAATCAATACTGGTGTTGATGTAAGCTTCTTCTTAAGCTCTTGAAAACTCTTCTCACAACGATCGGACCACTCGAACTTCACAGATTTTCTCGTTAAATTTGTCAAAGGGAGAGCAATCTTTGAAAACCCTTCGATAAATCTACGATAATAACCTGCTAATCCGAGAAAACTTCGAACTTCTGATGGATTCTTTGGTACTGACCAGTTCTAAATTGCAGCAATCTTTGCTGGATCCACTTCTACACCTCTCTCAGTGATAATATGGCCTAAGAATGCCACTTTCTTCAGCCAAAACTCACACTTAGAGAATTTGGCATACAACTTCTCCTTTCTAAGGGTACTGAGAACAACCATTAGATGTTGCTCATGCTCTTCTTGACTCTTGGAGTAGACCAAAATATCATCAATAAAGACGATGACAAATTGATCTAAATACTTGTGGAAAACATGGTTCATCAAGTCCATGAACACCCTGGTGCATTACTTACCCCAAACGGCATCACCACAAACTCGTAATGACCGTATCTTGTCCGAAACGCAGTTTTAGCTATGTCAGATTCCTTAATCTTCAGTTGATGATAGCCTGAGCGTAAATCTATCTTTGAAAATACGCAAGCTCCTCTCAACTGATCAAACAAATCATCTATCCTTGGGAACGGATATTTATTCTTTATCGTTAGCCGGTTTAAATCCCGATAATCGATACACATCCTCATGGAACCATCCTTCTTCTTGACAAACAATACAGGTGCTCCCCAAGGAGAAACACTTGGTTTAATGAAACCAAGTTTCAACAACTCTTGAATTTGAGTTTTTAATTCTTGCAATTATTTTGGTGCCATCCAATATGGTGCCTTCGACACAGGCGCTGCTCCAGGAAAAACATCGATTGTGAACTCCACTTGCCTGTTGGGTGGTCTTCCTGGTAGTTGGTCCGGGAACACATCCACAAACTCACGAACAATTGGAACATCATGAGGTGTTTGTGCTCTCGAATTTTCGTCAACAATGCTCACCAAATATCCTTGACAATCCTCCCGTCTTATAATATTCCTTGCCTTCGCCATAGTAATCACCCGAGGCAACGTTCGCGTCTTCGAGCCGTAGAAAGAAATTTGATCCTCCTCCGAAAGATAAAGAATTACCTCTCGGTCATGACAACGAATATCAGAACGGTAACGTGTTAGCCAATCCATCCCGAGTATGAGGTCAAAATCCCTCATCTCGATGATGTACGCGCCGACCTCCAAGATTTGCCCTCCAATATTGAGTCTAAGGTTTTCTGCCTTAGAACTCGTCACTATTTTCTGTCCCGAGGCTAAACTTACCTCAAGAGGATCAACAGTGTTAATGAGATAAGCTCTTATGATTTCTATACATCGTTTTGACACGAACGAATGCGTCGCTCCCGCATCAAACAATGTAAAAATAGGAATATCGTTTAGAATAATCATCCCAGACATAGTACCTGGATTCTGCTCTGCCTGAGCCTGCTCCACAGCATACACTTGAGCTTGAGGTGTCCTCTGCTGCTGAGGCTGCCCCTGATTCCTCTACTGCTGCCTATCTGGACATTCCTTGAGATTATGACCAGGCTTCCGACAAAAAAAGCAAATATTCTGCCCTGCTAAACATTCTCCTGGATGACTACGTCCACATTTTCCACAAACTGGAAATTGTGGTCGGTTAGCTGGACCTTGCTGCTTCTGATTGTTATTATTCTAGGGACCTTTCCACTTTCTCTTGTTCTTATCTTTAGCCTGCTGAATAGGCATGGGCTGCACTGGTGGTTGTACTGGAACTTGAGCAATTGGCTGCACCTGAACTTGGCCATCACCCTTCGAAAACTTGCGTCTACTTCTTGAGTCTTGAAAACTATATCAGCATAAGTCTGAATACAATGTCCAGCTACATGATGACGGATTTCTGATCGTAACCCGTCTTGGAATCGTCTTGCCTTTTTAGCCTCAGTGTCCACAAGATAAGTGACAAAAGATCCTAATCGAGTAAACACTCTCTCATACTCATCTACTGAATGGTTTCCTTGGAATAATGCCAAGAAATGACGTTCCATCTCAGCCCGATAGTGAGCTGGATAGTATTTCTCTTCCATCATCTCCTTGAACTGCATCCAAGTGAGATTCTCCTTCTCCCCAAGATGCATGCCCCAGTAGGAGTTCCACCATAGTCGAGCATCCCCGGTCATTTGAAGTTGAGCACAAATAATACGCTGCCTCTTTGTGCATTCAGTGATCTCAAAAATAGTTTCGAGACCCTGAATCCACTCTTCCACTAGACAATGATCTCCTTGACCTGAGAATTTCTCAAGATTGTATCCACAAAATTGAGTAACGACTTCTGATGTCGTTATCTCTCTTCGAGCTTGGGGTGCCATCTAAAATTTATCATAAAAGATAAACTTTTAATACACTAAGAAAATATATATACTTATAAATATATTGAGCATATAATCTGATTCATAAAATTCGGATATCTTATCGAGCATAGACTTAGTAATTTGCATATATTTAAAATTCATAATAAAAAAAATTTTAACAACACTTACCTGATAATTGGCGAGGTGTGAGTGTGGTGTGGTCGGTTTTTTCTTGAAACTTTTTTTCCAAAACATAATCTTGTAGTATACAGAGATTTTTTGAACTTTGGCTCTGATACCAACTGTAACACCCCGCTTATCAGAGTAAAATTTTCGCAACTTATTTCGAAAATACTTATAATTTTTTTTTTCGAAACCTTCTTAACTCGGGATGCTACTAAACTTATCTACTTTAAAAATCTGTTCCCTTTTAGCTTGATCTAACAACTACGTTAGATATAAATAAAACACAGATTTTAAATATTGAACAAATATAAAAACTTAATTAGTTCATACAGACAATCCGGTAAATCACCTTTAAAATCACACTTAAAATCACACATGTTCAAATCTTAAAAGAAACGTAGCGGAAATCTTACAAGCATGGTTTACAAACCGAAACCTTATTGAAAATTCTCAATAGAAATTTAGTCACATCCACGACCACCACAGCTCCTCACACCTGCGCACCGTCTTTATTTTCTGAAAAATGATAATAGTGGGGCATGAGTACTAATTAACTGTACTCCATAAAAACCCATACTAAAGTAAACAACAATAATAATATAAATATCATGATCTTTGGTATGTATCTGAACTTAATCTTCCGGTATCTAACCGGTACTGTAACTGAGCTTTTTCAACTACCGGTAACTTGGGCCGGTTCTCACGTGATCACATTCTGGGGGTCGCCTCCCACAGAACCCAGTCTTGACTGGGCGAGCTTAATACTTTACTTAACTTTATACATACATCGAACATGGTAATAGCTATTATACTCAATGTAATACCCAGTCTGAGTCCCCACCTTTCTTTTTGAAATTGTTTGATAATGTAAGTGTTGTTCTCGTAGCCGACTTGTCACGCTTCATAAAGATATAAACAAATATACTAAGTACTATGCTCGTATACTCAATAAGATATTGATATTCTTAACTTTAACTGTTAACTTATAACTTATCCGAATGATAAATAAATAAACATGCTATAACTCAAAATAAATTAATTGGATAACTTTAAATCTTTTCAAACTTTTATTCAGTGCCATAACTCATGCTTGATAAACTTTGATGTTGGCTTGAAAAGAACTCAAATTACTCAAATATACTTATCCTTTACCAACATCATCCTCATGAATTATAACTTACTAAACTTGTCTTAATTGATATTGATAAAAGTCAACTTTAAATCATAACACCAAAACTTAAAACAATTTATAAAATTATATATCAATTATCATAAGTGCTCTAAAATTTTATACTTTTTATCAACTTACTCATCATAAACATCTCATATCAATTACTCTTAAAGGCTTTAACATGAAATAAATCATATATGCCACTTAATCATTTCTCATCTTAATATCATAATATCAATTTGCATACTAACTTCAAATTATATCAAAATCTCAGTTCTAACAAAAATCATACTAAATAATCCTTATATCATTAAAGCATATAACAACTTGAACTCATTAAAACAATCATAACACTTAAACATGTATACTAACAACTTATTTAACATGAATTCAAGATAACCATGAACTTATTATGAGCATGAATTTCACATAAGTGAATTACCTCCTTCAAGGACTTGCACTTGAAAAATTATATTCTCCACTTCAAAAATTCTTCTCTCCACTATAATTATCACTCTTTAAGGACTTATATTACTTAGAAATATTTTTGGTGTGGAATTTCAGATTCTAAAGGCCCCTATTTATAGCCAAAATTTAGGAATAATTTATTTGAAGTGTAGAAATTAACAAATTAAACAATTTAAACTTGTAAAAATTAATCAATTTAAATATATCCTTACCTAACATTATAACATCAGATTTTCTTAATT